GCCGCGGGCCGGGGTGGGGTGGCGGGAGCGGCCGGGGCGGCGTCCCGCGGGGCGGACAGGATGTCCCGGCTCCCCGACTAACGATGCGCAGCGGAATGCGTCCCAAAGGCGGTCGCGAGCATTCGGGGCCGAGGGCACCGGTGAGCCCCAGCAGAGTCCGGAGTAGAGCCTCAGGGACGTCCCAAGGGGGATTCTGGGGCCTGGCGAAGGTCACCCGGCTAGGCCCCCAGTTGGACCCTGGCCTCGGAATTCTCTGCGGAAATCCTGGCCTGGAGCTGGGGGTGGGGGTTGAGGGGAGTTGGGTTTTAGCCGCCTCCCATTCGGATAATTTGAAGGTGCATTTCTCAGGGTCTCAGATTTTCTTACACTGGACAGCACCTCCTAGTTTGCGGCGCTTCTGGGCCTCAGAACCTCAATGTGATGAAAACGGGTCTAAGACTCCTTTTAGAAGGACTACTGGCTGGTCTTCCCCCCCGCCCAGGCCGTACAACTGAGTCATCTTTAAATACCGTCTTTGGTCCTAGCCAATTGCAAATTCTGCCTGCGAACAATGTTTGAAGCCAGATCCTTTTTAAATAACTGCAAGACTGAAGTTAGCCATCTTTGAAGATTGCATTTGCTCTTCCAGCTCATTAAAATAAGTCTTTTTCTTTCTTTCTTTTTTTTTTGGCTTAGGGAAGTAAGAGTAATTTCAATGCAGACCCAGCAGTGACTACTTAGAAACCCATTTTAAGACGTCTCAGGTAAAGTATAGGCTTCACTGTAAATATTATGCAGATGTGTTCATTTACCTACTGGATATGCCTTTGGAGAAGTTATATCTAAACAGAATTTCAAAAATTCTTTTTCAAGCAATGTTAGGTAAATCCTTTTGTGTTGCAATAGAAACCCTCCCCCATGTATTTTCTTAAAGTATCAGTAAACTAGTGCCCTATGGATTAGTAACTTCTGAAACTATCTTTTTTTTTTTTTAAGATTTTATTTATTTATTTTAGGGGTGCCTGGGTGGTTCAGTCAGTTAAGTGTCTGCTTTCAGCTCAGGGCATGATCTCAGGGTCCTGGGATCTAGCCCCACATCAGGCTCAGCGGGGTGTTTGCTTCTCCCTCTTCCCCTGCAGCTCCCCCCGCTTGTGCTCTCTCTCTCTGTGTCATAAATAAATAAAATCTTAAAAAAAAAAGTCTCCACATTGACAAAGAACTGATATGTAATGGGTCACCACCCTCCCGACCTGTGCTGTGCACGTGTGTGCGCACACACACACACACACACACATCCCAGCTTCACAAGAGAAAGC